GCGCCAAAATTGGGGGGAAATTGGGAACATTTTGGAAGCATCAAAACCAATTGAAATTGTTCAAATCCGTAAGCGAAACCACTAACATTATCTCTCCAGTTTCCTCTTCAGGTACCGCAGCCACCGACTATGAGGCCACTCCTGCTGAGTCTGCTGCTATTACTGTGGTATCACCGGAGAGGAGCGAGGGGAACACCTTGTGAGCGAGTGGACTGGAATTGGATCTTAAACCCACCCTCTCCGGGGGGTGCTACGGTTCAATTGCCATACTAACCAAACCCTTAGCCATTGTAAGTCCCAGAAACTAACTGCTACACAGGTTTGGCCAAAGGTAAGGGCCAACCTATGGCTAGGACGGGGTCCGGTTGAACACCAGAAGGTGCTCATTAAATCATATGTTAATCCCTATAAAAACAGGGAGACGAGTAATGTCACCCTTATCATCACTGCAGAATGTCCTGTCCTCCGTTGGTGCCAGATACCAGAGATATTGGGACCAGATGGGCATACATGGAAGGAGTCGTGGGAGTGTATTGCACAACCACCTCGAGCCCTAAACCCAACAAAAAACAAGAAAAATCCTCCAATTTTTATAAAGCAACCCTCCTCCCCAAAAACCCCCTACATTTTTAAATTATAAGCTGAACAATTTCAGTTATGGAGAAGGATAAATATATATCTATTATATCTTCAGTGGTAGTTTTTTAGACAAAATCCTAAAAATTTACCATTATTATGGCCATTCTTATGTTTTCATTATGATTTAATGCAAAAAAAGAATTAGAGGAGCTCATGGAGAATACCTTCAATGGCTATTAGGTAAGATGGTTAGGGAGAAAAAAAACCATGCTTAGCGTAGCTCTAAGCCTCTGACTAACATTCAGGGTGTGTCTAGACTACATGCCTCCGTCGACGGAGGCATGTAGTCTAGACACACCCTGAATGTTAGTCAGAGGCTTAGAGCTACGCTAAGCATGGTTTTTTTTCTCCCTAACCATCTTACCTAATAGCCATTGAAGGTATTCTCCATGAGCTCCTCTAATTCTTTTTTTGCATTAAATCATAATGAAAACATAAGAATGGCCATAATAATGGTAAATTTTTAGGATTTTGTCTAAAAAACTACCACTGAAGAGATCGGCACAGGTATGCCTTGTGAAACCAGGTTTACCTGTGCCGATCAAGAAAGGCTTCTTTGTCGGCGCGGCGCGTCCAGACTGCCCCGATCTGCCGACAAACAGCTGATCGGCAGAGCGGGGCAGCCATTTAAATTTAAATGAAGCCACGATTATTATTTCATTTCCCTCTGCTGATCTGGCTAATCTACATGCCTCCGTCGACGGAGACATGTAGTTTAGACGTACCCTCAATGACAGGCAATGGATCACCCAGAATTATCCTATTATGTTCATTCCCTCTGATGCATCTGGCCCTGGCCATGGCCTACCGGAAGACAAGATATTGGGCTAAACAAATCATTGGCTTGACCTCGTGTGGCCATTCTTATGTTCTTAATTTTAAAAAAATCAATGGACATATTATTTTCATCAAAAGCAGTTAGTGAAGGAAAATTATTTCCTGACCATATCTTACTACTTCCAATAGATAAAATATATTCAAAATACTGAGGATAATATACCTGAGGAAATGTAGGACTTATCTTCACTGCCACGGAGATCAATGCTGCAGTGGTCCGTCTTCCAGTGTTCAATTTAGTGGGTCTAGTAAAGACCCTCTAAATCAAATGCTGTGGCACCCCCATCAATCACTGTACTCCTTGCAGTTGTGAGGAGTAAGAGAAATTGACCTGAATGTTTCTCTCATTGATCTTCCACTGTGGGGATGGTGCCAAAACTCAGCTTAAGGTACATCAACTTCAGCTATGTTATTTACATAGCTGGAGCTGCATACCTTAAGCTGTCGTTCCAGCTTTAGTATAGATCTTTCCTTAGAGTCTGATCCAATTCCCATTCAGGGAAGTGAAATCACTCTTATTGATGTTAGTGGAGTTGGACCAGGCACGTTTTAATGTGGGAGTCGGAAGATAATACAGAGTTTAAAAGGGACTATTATTTTTAAATACTAAACACTAGTAAAAACTGGGATTTCTAAAAGTGAACCTTGCTCTGAAGTGGTGTAAATCAAGTGCACTGTACAATGCATGCATGCTGACAGCATGGGTGTGCTGTTTATTTAAAATGACAGGTGAAGGCTCTGAAAGTTTCTAGGCAAAATCTTGACAGTGACGCAGTGGGAAAAACAGCTGGGACAGCTTTAGGGCTATTATCGTTTCTCTATTCTAATCTAGTTCCTTATTCTCTGTTAGAAGAAGGTAACTAACAGCCTTTACTATTGTCACATGACATGTATCTCAATATATTTATTCTTTGTTCTTTTTTCTCCTGGGCAACTTCTTCCCAGTAAACATTGCCTCGTTTGCACCCATGGCTGTTCAGTTTATGGCTCTGCAATAATTATGCCTGACAACATAGATGCCTATCGTCCAAGCCCTGTTTTTGGAAGCTGAGATTTCTGCTCTTGTTTTCATTTTTATACCCACGTTGCTACACACTAAAGGAATCCCACAACTCTTCAGAGCTAACATCAAGAGAATTTACAGTGTGTTAAAAAAATTCCCCTTTGGTTTCCCTGTATCCATATTAAGTTGCACAGTAATGTAGCTGACCACAGCACACAGCCCGAGGGAGTTATGGTAACAACTGTGATATCTAATTTTGGAATTTGATTTACACAAGCAGAGATCTGTGTTGCTGGTGCCAGCTGTGGTGAGGAAACATAGCTATCCCCTAAAGGCCTATTCCATTCACCACCAGTGGGGATAGTTCTAGGTGGAGAATGCCTACCGTGACAGAAGTTGGCAAAAAAAAAGAGAGAGAGATTCAAAAAACAGGAAAGAACACAAAATTAAATGTTATTAAATACAATATTCCCACACCAGACTATGCCAATATTGTTGGCTGGTGGGAGCTGTCATGCACGTGATACGAAAGACTTAACAGGCATGTTACTTTTTTTTCAAATATATTTGAAAATATATTTCAAATATATTTGAAAATCCAGCATTTGGGTCTGTGGAAATATCAGAATTTGGAGAGGTGGGAATGATGTTCCCTGTGGATGGGGTTTGCAAGTTTTAAGGCATGGTAGATTTTATTTAAAACAAAACACTCCTTCAGAGAGACAGGACAACCTTATTCCTGAAGCACTGACTGGGGACTAGAGAAAACTAGGGTCAATTACTGGCTGTGCTCTGTAAAACCTTGGGCTGATTATCTAATCTCTCACTTTCCCATCTGTAAAATGGAGATAATAATTTTTCCTTTCTCCAATCTTTTGTCCATCTTGTCCATTTAGATTCCATATTATTCTGGGCAGGACTCTCTCCTGCTATGTGTGCATACAGTTCTTAGCCCAGTGCAGCCCTCACCTCAATTGATACAGTAAGATATTCTTGGAAACAAGTAATGCAAAACAAAAATTTTGCTATATAGTGTGATTTTTGAAAGGCAACTAGGGAAGGTGAAAAAAAGGTGGCCAGGACATAAGAATTCTCCCTCCTTCCAAAACTTGTACCCATTTCTGAAGTTGGAAAATGTCTTTAATGGTACATGAATTTCTTGCACTATTTTTTGTTGCAAACTCTCATGGGGTTTTTTGCACAGGGATAGCTATAATAAATGCCAGTGGAAATATGCACACCTGTTTCAAAAGTGACTTCCCTAGTGTGGCTTGCCCCTGGATTCATTTAAGGTCATGACACTTTTTAATTGTAAGTTAATACCGTGTTTATTCAGGTCACCTGATTTTTTCACTGTTTTATTCTTTCTCCCCTTCTCTCTTCTTTTATCCTATATAGAACATGAATCAGATAAAGTGCAATTTCAAGTTAAGAACATAGGAATTGCCATACTGGACTGAACAGTGGTTCATCTAGTCCAGTATCCTGTCTTTGGCATAGACAATTAACTGATGATCTCAGGCCTTGTATTTTTAAGGAACCAGATGAAAGCCAAAGACTCAAATCCAGCTCTAGATCCAGATCTGAATTTTGTGGCTTAGGAACAATTCTCTTTTAAAGATTCTGAAATCTAGGTTAATGGTTATTTGATAATTGTTCAGTCTTTCACACTTCCAGATTTCTGGCCAAGACACAAGCTACCAAAATACCTAGAGGGAAACAATTTGTTTCCTTTTATTTCCAGCCCAACCAGAAGAAAAATAAATCTCAGTACAGTGCTTGTTCACATGAGTTTTCAAGTCAAATTTTGCAGATTTTCAGGAATTCTGGATAGTAAAGTTAAGTATACAAACTTTTTAGCATCCTTTTTTCATTGAAGCAGAACTCTTGAGAGTTAGATCCACAGTCTCCTTTCTCCTCCCCAAATCTACATTGTGCTGCTTTGGCTCTAATCTCTGCACTGCCTACAAATATCATAGGGGATGTAAAAGTCCCTTAGCCAATGCAATTGAGAGCAGCCTCGAGGTTGCTCCAACCTTCCAGGATTCAAATTTGCCTCTGCTGCCTTGGAAACTGGTGGGAGGGTCAGACAAGGGAGGAGGGGGCACAAATACAGCAGAGAGCCATCTATGCCCTCCAGGGGCACCAACACTGAGGCTGTGTCTACACTGCACCCCTTTTCCGGAAAAGGGGTGCAGTGTAGACACAGCCCGTGGCTTTTGATGTTTTCTCACCACTTCATGGAACTTGAAAGTAGACCGAGAGGTCTATTCATCCGTCAGAACAGGTATATAACTCCTCTTTACAACACAACAAGGAGTTACACTTGCATGTGGAGAATAGAATTCTGCAACGTGAACAAGAAGGGATAATTAAGACATCAATTAAAATTAGAGATGTCAAATATTGTTTAACAAAGTAAAGCACCGTCGTGCATTTCTTTCACCCCCAGAATTCCACGGGGCTTCAGTGAAATTGCTCCATAACCTATCCTGGGATAGAATATGAAAAATATACTTACCACGTAGCAGTCTCCTGGGCAGTGTACTCAACTCTAGGCAAAGGGTCTCCCCTTTAGAGACATAGAGAGATAAAATTGTATAGCTGATTTGAATTCCAGTTTCAAGTGCAATTTTCTTTATATGTACCAGACTTATTTGCCAAGTTAAAATAAATACAAATAATAAATAATCTTCCTGAGGTATTCCAAAGGGCTTTATGACCCAGGTGTCCTAAGCACCACCAAATCCCGAGCGATGGTGCAAGCAGTGAAATACTATAAAGAAGGGACTACTTAATGGAACGTTCAGGAAGCCAGGCTGTATTGTCTCCCATTCCCATTGCTTAGCTGCAGGCATTCCATCAACAACAGAGAGGTGGGATGGAGCTAGGAATAACTGCTCCACATGACATAGTCCCAAGGAAAAAGCTCTAAATTATGCAGCAAATGGGTGCTTGTGTATATTGTGCATATGTCAGCATTTACTTCCTCCCTGTTAACTATCCAATCTTTAGGTGCTTATAAGTTACCAGTTCTGCCTACTTGTTTTTCCCTTTGATATCTTCATACCCTCTGCTTCTTGTTTCCTGCCCCCTTCCTTTTTTTCCCTTTCTTTCCCTTCTCCCCTATTTATTTTAGGTCTGCACATCCTAAACTCAAAATTCCAGTCATCTGAAGAAGTGGGCTGTGCCCACGAAAGTTCATGACACTATCTATATGTTTTTTTAGTTTATAAAGTGCTACCAGACCATTTGTTGGTTTTTAAGTATTTCCTCTCTGGACCTGTATTTACCATCAGAGAAGGAGATAATTCACAGTGTTAGTGGGGGAGCTAATGATAGCTGGCTGATTAGCCACAAGGTATGAAGGCTGTCAATAAGCAGAAATTGCTAGAGGTTCAGAGTTTCGCTTGAGTTCTTGGGCACCATGTGGTTCACAGTGCAAGGCCATTATGCATCTTGCTAATGTCACTTACAAAAAGGAGTAGAATGAATTTCAGTGTCCTCACACTTCTCTTCCACTCCCATCGGTTTTTACATAGAAAAGCAAGAATGTATAAATTGTTCATTTTAGGATAAGTCCAGCTATTTCTTTTCTTTTCTTTTGCATACACATGTCCTTGTCTACCTGGCAGGTTTATTAAGACACATGCCAACTCCTGGAAAGAAGATACCTTCATCTTATAATTTAAATGAAAGAGTCATAAAAAGACAATTTTCCCTAGGATTACATGTAATGATGCCGAGATCACTGAGGTAGGAATGCTGTCCTAAAGTTGTACATTACATTTTCAGTACATCTATTATATATTTTAAAGAGTTTGTTTGTTTTTGGATTTGTTTGCAAAAAAAAAGTTATACTTCGCAATTACCTACAGATACCTAAACATTCCTGCCACTTAAATTAGCTGAATGCACTACTTTTTATACTGGAATACGCTGAAATGCACTACTTTTTACACTAGGTGAAAGGTTTAAATAATTATTTTTGTCTTTCGCGGTTGTCTACAGTTACCAAAGTTTGCATAAACAGTCCTGCCACTTAAATTAGCTGAATGCACTACTTTTTACACTGGAATATGCTGAGTGCAAAGTTTAAATAATTTTTGTTTATCAGAAAAAAGTCACGACTATTATGATTAGAGTTCATAAAAATATTTACTAAGAAAATTAAACTCGAGCTGCCTATTAAACTGTCATTTTAGTACAAAGAACATTTTTACAGTTACAAATCACAAAAGAATTCAAATTAGTTATGGAAAGAGTAACAGAAACTTTAATTTCTGATTCAAATTTACTGTGTGTGGAAATTATTCAGAAAATGAATAATGTTTAAAGTTGAAATCCTACTAATGTAAAACTGTTCTTTTACTTCCTTTTTGCAACCACATTAATAAAAATTCTATTACATATTTCATTTCTTGAACTTTCCTTTAAGTGTAATCTACACAAAATGACTTTGCCTGGTCAATGATGGGTCTCACCTTGCTAACTCTGAAATATTTGATTTATAGGGGATGTGTGTTTCTGTGATTAACCCAGTCTTCCAATAGATGGCACCACAGAATTGCATTGAGCTGAGATTAAGTCACATCAGCTCTAACACTAAGGGGACAAAATCAAACTGCTGACATTGAGAGCACACAAAAAGAGAAACTGACTTAGAACAAGCAGGTTTCCAATGGTGCTGTACTTACGCTCGGTAGTTGAAGGCCAGGTCTGTAAAGAAGGCTCTCCGTTTCTTGTATTCTGGGTCTGTGAATCCCTGCAGTGGGATATAATTTAGAATAACTTTTACATCAGGCTAGATTGACAGGCTCGAATGATTTTGCTGCCAGAAACATTCAAAATGAAAAGGCCTGAAATTGGTTGTTCTATTGCAGTACCTTTGGGGCAAGAAATCATGGACTGTTAGAATGAGACAAATTCTGCACTGAGTTGCTTACTGCCTTTGGACCAGAAATGCAGTGTACAGGTTGGACCTCCTTGGTCTGGCACCCGCGGAACCTGACTGGTCCTGAGAAAGGGATTTTGCTAGACCATGGATTGCGATTCCGGCCCCTCTGCTTCCAGCTTCCAGGGTCTCCCCACAGACCGCTAGCCTCTTGGCTGAGTTCCCCTCACGTCTGCCTACCTGCTGTGCTGCAGGCCCCATCCAGGCTTGCTGCCTGTGGCTGTGAGTCTGGCTCTTCTTCTGGCATAGCAGCCAGGTCGCCTGTTCCCCGGCCATGGAACCGACTTTGGTCCCCACCCCCACCTCCGCCGGGCCACCATTTCCCCAGTCTCAGGACTAGCCCTGCTCCCTCCCCCCCGGCTGGGCAGGTGCCCATGGCCATGGGACTGACTCTTCTCCTGGACCCGCTCTGCTTCCAGCCCTCCGGCCAAGCAGCCAAGCTACTGGTTTTGCAGCCACAGGACTGGATCCACTTCCATCCCCATGGCTGCAGGCCAGGATCCAGCTTTCTCCTCTTCCAGCTGCTGGTCTCCCAGCCACCCCAGTGTCTTTCCGATCCAGGGCCTGTCTCATCCAGCAACATCTGGACCGTGGATGTTGTCAGATGAGAGAGTCCCAGACCAGAGAGGTTCAGCCTGTACTTATGTCACAGCTAAGCATGAAAACATAGTAGCTTTGAGTAGTGAGCATCCTACAGAATGGAAGACACAGTTTAAGTGGGAGAGGTAAAAACTGAGCTCACTCAATTGATTTTCCTCTTAGCCTTGGGAAAAGGGGCTATGTTAATGTGAAATAGTATGCTAGGAGATAGGATTCAGAGGGGTAGCCGTGTTAGTCCATTTTAGCATAAACAACAAGGAGTCCAGAGGCACTTTAAAGACTAACATATTTATTAGGGGATAAGCGAGATACAACTCACTTCTTCAGATGCTTGAAGGGGAAAAAAAACAGAAAAGGAAGGGATATAGAGATGGGTGACATCAGGGCCGGTCCTAAGGCCGGTTCTGGGTAACAGCAGTGGTAATTAAATCAGAGTGGATGTGTCTCATCTCCAAAAGTGATGAGAAGGTGAGAGCAGGAGCGGCCCGAGGCCGGCTGTGGCAGCTGGTGCCCCAGGCGGAACGCGTGATCGGCACCCCCGCCTGCAGGGCCGTCAGTGGACTGATGTCACCGTTGGGCGCCCCAGGTGCCCCATGATGTAATCATTGGGCGCCCCGGGTGCCGGCGCTCTAGGCGGCGGCCGAGTCTGCCTATAGTCATGGGCCGCCCCTGGGTGAGAATGCCTGAAGAGGAAATTGCCTATTGTAATGACTACTTGGTGAAGTAAGCATCCAGACCCACATCCAAGGGTCAGTCCCTCAGTGCAAGGCTGACCTAAAAGAGATGGGAAGCTGAGGATTCCACCTCTGTAGGGAGAACTCTAATCCATGCCAAGGACCAGACCAGCTCCTGGTTGGCCTTGGGATCGGGGGAGCACAAAGGTGGCTTAATGTCCTGCTCACAGAAAATTTAGCCCATGTAATTTCATAGAAGCCACTCTCATTTTGAATTCAGCCTTTGATTTCAAGCCACATGCCAGAATAGGGGGCCAGATCCTGAGCCAGCATAAATCAGTGCAATTTTGTGGCACCCTCTGCTCTTTTCTTCTTTGCTCTCAGACAGCTGAGAGACCTTTACCAGGCCCAGCTCCTCTCTTCTGACCCCCCACCCGCTTTGCACTTTCTTCCTATGTCATAGAATCATAGAACACTAGAACTGGAAGGGACCTCAAGAGGTCATCGAGTCCAGACCCCTGCCCTCATGGCAGGACCCTGTACTGTCTAGACCATCCCTGATAGACATTTATCTAATCTGCTCTTAAATATCTCCAGAGATAGAGATTCTACAGCTTCCCTGGGCAATTTATTCCAGTGTTTAATCACTCTGATAGTTAGGAACTTTTTCCTAATGTCCAACCTAAACCTCCCTTGCTGCAGTTTAATCCCATTGCTTCTTGTTCTATCCTCAGAGGCCAAGATGAACAATTTTTCTCCCTCCTCCTTGTGACAGCCTTTTAGATACCTGAAAACTTCTATCATGTCCCCCCGCAATCTTCTCTTTTCCAAACTAAACAAGCCCAATTCTGTCAGTCTTCCCTCATAGGGCATGTTCTCTAGACCTTTAATCATGCTCGTTGCTCTTCTCTGGACCCTCTCCAATTTCACCACATCTTTCTTGAAATGCGGTGCCCAGAACTGGACACAATACTCCAAATGAGGCCTAACCAGCGCAGAGTAGAGCAGAAGAATGACTTCTCGTGTCTTGCTCACAACACACTTATTTACCTGTCTCCTTGCTACTAGATTAATTACCTGTTCAACCCTGTTCTGCTCCAGTAATGAGGAATTTGTCTCCTTATTCAGACCTTCCCCAGGGGCCTCATTGGCTAGATAGTGAGGAGAAAGCTGGTTCAGAAGCTGATTCCCAGAACTGTCACAAACTCCATTGAATTCAGTGGTGATATCCCAGTTTACACCAGCTAAGGACATGGCCAGGGCCAACTTATGAGAGGGCTTGGGAGCTTCATCCCAGGGTATGCAAGCCCCCGTATGCTGCAGCTCTTCATGGGGGAGGAGGGAGTGGTTCTGCCTGCTGGTATTCCCCATATCTTCCTCCAGGCTGGAGCCATATTCATCACTGCTAGCAATGCTCACCTCCCAGACTCCACCCCACCACTCCCATTGGCTGGGAATTGCAGACAATGGGAACAGTGGGAGGCGATGCCTGCAAGAGCAGGGCTGTATGGAGCTACCTGTCTGCCTCCCCAGGGAGCTGTTCTAGGTAAGCACCCCAATCCTCTGCCCTCTCCTATACTCTCTATTCCTCCCAGATCCCCACATCTCCACCCCCACCCCGCTCCTGCACTCTACCATCTTACCAAGCCCCACATCCACACCCCAGCCCACTCCAGCACTCTACACTCTACCTTCCTACTAGATCCTGCCCACCAGCCACTCCTGTATCCTTCCTCCCATCCAGACCCTGGATCCACACCCCACCCCTCTCCTGCACCCGACCTCCTGCCCAAACCCCACATTGCCACTCCATCCCCTGACAGCCTTATCCCACACACTGAATTCCTCATTTCTGGGCCCATCTTGGAGCCACAGGGCCCCACAAAATCTACTAGCCCAGGGTCCCCAGAAGAGTTAATATGGCTCAGGGCATGGCTCATTAGCTTTCAAAGGATTGGCAGTTATAACAGCATAGTTGTAATACATCAAACATCCAAACTACCTGATACATCAATATCTCTGCTATAGTTAGGGTCTTACTAGGCTCTTGTTGCATATCTAACAAATTATTCAGGTGAACATAAGAAAACATCTGGACCTCTTATTTGCTCTCCCCCTGTACTGAAGGGACACTAAAACATAAGATGGAGTTATTAGAATGGACATCCCATGTGGCTGGATATTGGCTAATAAATGCATATTTGTAATGCAATAGCCTGCCAGTGTAAATCTCTGTTATTTGTCTCTGAATTTCCCCATGCTGTAGCCATATTCTGCTATGTAGGTGACTGCACATTCTCTCTGAGACCAAACCTCAGAGGAGACTGGCTACCCATGCAGCTTTTCTTCTGCCTCTGTGTTATTCCAACCCCATGAAGTAGTTCTGTGGCTCTGTTCCATTGAACCCATGCTACCAGCGGCTTTCCATTCCCCCATTAAAGATGCTCCCCTGCCCTTTTTGACAACAGAAAGGGGAGACTCATGAAAGCCACTGATGATTCAAATTCATCAACTTGCATTTGTTTCCACCATGGGTTTTTAGAAAGGCAGTCTGCTATGGACCAGAATGTGGGCATGCATGCCTCGTAGTCAGAGCAGTAACCAGGTCTAGTTGATGATGTAAGTGTCCAGACCCAAATCCAAGGGTCAGCACCACAGTCAGCTGCTGATTACCAGAGCCTGGAGCCAAGCCAGGGTTAAGAATCAAAGCTGAGAGTCAAATGCCAAATGCCAGAGCTAAGGATCAGCGTCAGACATCAGAGTCAGAGTCAGACATCAGAGACCTGGATCAGAGGCAGGACTGGAAACTGAGGGCTGGAAGCACGGTATAAGGGCAGGAGCCATAGAAGAGAGAAAGATCAGGAGCATAGTGGGAATAGGAGCAAATGCAGGGGTGAGGCTGGAAAAAGGGCCCATGACTCCCACAACAGGAAATCCTTTAATTGCTCAACTTCCTGTGCCTCCTTCTGGCCTAAATAGCATGGTTGGACCAATCAATGGATGTGGATGATCCTCCAATCTCATCTCCCATGGGTGGTGGTTGTAGTTCTACTAGCTTCTCAGCCCATTTGGTTTCAGTGGACATTGAGTAGAGGCCAGGATGTGATAACTGTCTGGTAAGTCACAGACCTGGATTCAAGATGTGAGACATCACATAATCGCACAGTGAGTGTGGTTTATCCTGTTCTGTACACCCTTCTGCATCAAGCCAATCCCCTTCTACAGAGCCAGAATCTAGTACAGTCTCCAGAGAGTGGTTTCCATATGGTCAAGGGAATAGGAGCTTGCATTCCTATATCTGTACCTCACAGCCAGCTCACCTGTCCCCTTGCGTGACCAGAGGGAAGACTTTTGCAGTAATCACTTCACTACACACCAAGGGTATGTCTACACTACCACCTTAGTTCGAACTAGGGTGGTTAATGTAGGTATCCGAAGTTGCAAATGAAGCCCGGGATTTGAATTTCCAAATTTCAGCCTGGAACAGTCTCATGGAAGCCATCAAGGAGGTTCTAGAAAGGCCTTATCTACCACAATATGTTGACCATAGATCATGAGAAGCACAGTGGCATGGAAACTAACATTACATAAATTCCCTCCTCCATCTGAACTCAGCCTATTGGTTGAGAACATCAGGAGTGGAATTTTACAAATGTATAAAAGGTTCTTATTATTAAATTAACAATCAATAATTAATGCTTAGCTATTAATAATCACTAATTAATTAATAATAAGTCAATAATCACTCATCAGTAATAATAACGAAGACAGAGGCAAAGCCATCTAAATCTTTATGCCAGTTTCAGTCCAATCTGTTCAGCAAATCAAAAAATGTGGCCATTATTATATTCCAGTTTCATGCACCTCCTTTGCAAATGAGGCCTGCAAACAACCTGACAGTGGTTAGGCAGCTGGTGTGATGAGCCTATTGTGCTGACCAATATTATCTGTTTCCTTGTGCTCCCCACTCTGTCCATATCCTCCTATTGCTGCTAGTCTTCAACTGTAAGCTCATTGGAGCAGATCCATTTCTTTGCTCTGCTTCTGCAAGTCTTAGCACAACGCGGGTTCGGGTCCATTCTTAGGACTCCTTAGTGCTACAGTAGCAGTAGCAGTCGTAGTAATAGGAGTCATAGCAATAGTAGTAATAATAAATAATATTTCTGTTTCCTCCTTGTGACGAGGCCCAAAAGCACAAGCATAAAAATACTATGAGTAGTACTGTTCTTCTAGCTCAGTCAGACGCAAAAAATACTGGATGAGGTAATGAGAGAGCGCCTGTACTCATTAAATTTCCAGGCTAATCTTTCTGCGCCAGTAATCTGAATGAAGAGATGAGTCTGAATCAAAAACCTGGTGCAGAACTCCCCAGGACTTGGGAAAGTTTGGCTGCAAATGAGGCTCCAAACTTTGCATCGCATGTCTAGTTTGACCTTCTGGGTGCTTAATTGAACTCAGTCACTGGACCTTTTGAGGTTCTCTTGTCATGTTTGAACTCAGTTCTAATATTACATTCAAGAATCAATTTTGCTGTTTATTTGAGCTGATTCCTCAACATGGCAGATTCTGAAACCCCTCATATTAATTGAATCTATTCTCCCTGTAATTCTGGACATGCCTACACTGGGGAGTTATTTTGAAATAACTCCCCTTATTTTGAAACTGGCCAATTAGCCCATCATAAGAAGGGATTTTCAGGTCTCTTCTCCATGTCGGTCTTCTCTCCTGAGCCTCCGGTCTCTCGCTCCATCTCTCTCTTTCTTTCTTTCCTACTCCTACTGCCTCCCCCTCTCTCTCAGCTCTCCTCCGTCTCCTGCCTCTCTCTGTCTCTCTCTTTCTCTTCTCCCCCTCCTGCCTCTCACTCAGGGGACCGCGGAGCCCAAATGGCCATTTGGGTGCCACACTCCCTGTGCTGTATGAGGGGTGTGGAGCCCAAACGGTCGCTTGCACCACTTGCTCCCATGCGGCGGCCCGGCTGACCGGTACAGAAGTCAGCCAAACGCCATGGCGGGAGGCGAAGGGGGGCGGGGTGGTGATGTACATGGCTAGGGGATGGGGTTGCTCCCACGCGGCGGCCTGGCTGAGTGGCGCAGAAGTCAGCCGAGCACCACTGCGGGAGGCGAAGGGGGGCGGAGCGGTGACGTTCACAGCCAGGGGGCGGGGCCTGGAGCTGCTGTCATGCCACATGTCACTGCCCCATCTCCCCTTCCCCTCCCGCCGTGGCACTCGGCTGACTTCTGCGCCGCTCAGCCGGGCCGCCACGGGGGAGCAAGCGGCCATTTGGGCCCCACACTCCCCATGCAACACGGGCCACCCAGAGGGAACAGCCAGCATTTCAGGCAACAGCACTGCTCAGAGGGAACAGCCAGCATTTCAGCATTACAGACTCTCAGACATTGGGCTACTATATATATGATAACAAGGCGAGCGTCCACACTATTAAGCCCATTATTTTGAAATGATGGGCTTATTATTTCAAAATAATAACAAAGGGTGTCTAGGGAGGCTAATGAGGGTGACCAAAATTGCTAATGAAGCGTGGGATTTAAATATAGCCCGAAGTAACTGCCCTTGTCTACGCGCGGCAGAGAAGCGGGATTCCGAGATAAACCCCTTAGTTCGAATTAACTGTTAAACCTCATTCCATGAGGAGTAACAGTTAATTTGAACTAAAGGGTTTATCTCCGGGCAGTTACTTCGGGCTAGTCAGTTTCCAAAATGGCGACCGGACTGGATTATGCTAATCAAGCGTGGGATATTTAAATCCTGTGCTTCGTTAGCAATTTCAGTCGCCCTCATTAGCCACCCTAGTTCGAACTAGGGGGCTAGTGTAGACATACCCAAAGAGGAATAAGCTTATTTCAAAATAGTTATTTCAGGAGCTATTATTTCAAAATAACTTATTTTGAAATGACTTGGTAGTGTAGACATAGCCTCTGTGGCCAGGGAAATATTATTATCCATTTCAATGGGACTGCTTGCAAGTATAAAGTTACCCAGGGGCATAAAGATCATAGGCTTCAGACCTAAAATAAGGCAAGATGCAGAAGGTTTGAAACAGGAAAATATTGTTATATTAGATCAGCCAGGTATTCTATCTATATGTTGCAGTTGGGGGTCACCAAATGAATGAGAGCTTTCTTGTCTAGAAAATGAGACCTGATCATGTGCGAAAGTCCTTTTATGAATAGGGATGCTCTTAATTATGTACTTAAAGGTAAATATGTGCCCAAGTGTTTTGCTGACTGGGGCGCTGTTGTAATAACTGGGCCAACAAGTGAGCTCAACGGTGGGAAAGAGGATGTTCCAGTTGCATATAATGCTAAATGTTGACAGGGAAAGGTGAAAAAGGGAGACAGAAAGACTGAATTAGCCCAGACAAAAGGGCTAGTGGTACAACTCAAGGATTGTGTTAAGATCATGGCTGGCAAGCAAGAGAAGTATGAACCTGGAAATCAATTAAACAAATTAGGTCAGAAATTAAACATAATTGGTAAACAAAATAATGAGGGGATGGGCTGGTCTGCCCATCACTTCCTTTTCAGGATCCTCAAAAAGAGATGTTGTAGGGGAAGTTAGAGGCATGCTGACTAACTGAAAAATGGGAGAACATGACAGAGTGAGCTTTACCACCATGGCTGCCATCCCCACACTCTCCTGGGACTTTGGATCTCCTCTAACACCTTTGGACCTTCCTTGTACAGTTCCTAAGAGATGGTTCTTACCAGATTGGGCCAGAGAGAAGGATTCCGATGACATCACCATCTCCACTGACTGAAGACCAGACACCACCTGGGATAAGAAACTACTTTTCCTTCCTCAGCCTATATCTTCTTGTTCTTATCCCCCTCCTTTTTCCTGCTGTCTAACAGGAGTCTGACTGAGCTGGCCAAGATTGTATATTCTGCAACACTGCTGTAAGCCTGTGACCAGGAAGGTAGCTAAAAGCAATGCCTTAAAGAGCCTGATGCTGTACAGCCTTGCCACACCTCGGAGGGCCTAAGAAGACCATGTGCAGTGTCTGTGTTTTTTAAACAGTGACACTACAAGTGAGAATCAATCCCAGAGACATACGTTGTGTTTTCTATCACAGCTATTCTCTTCTTTCCCCTTCTGTGGGTGCTTCTCTTGTGCCTTCCAGGAAACAGGATCAGAGTTCAACAACAATGGCAATAACCACAGCTCCAGCCCGTCTCAACTAACTTTTTCCCTTTCCCCCCAAAAGGACAGCTATCATCATCTAAGACAGTGTTTCTCAAACTGTGCTCCATGGAGCCCCACGGCTCCATGAGACATCTCCAGCGGCTCTGCGAGGCTGACAAACTGGAAACATCGATAGGTACAACATATACAATCAGTGGACCACTGGGGCTCCACATACATTTTTACGCATGTAAAGGGCTCCGGAGCCCAAAACGTTTGAGAACTGCTGATCTAAGACACTGTCAAACAAGGGGGATTTTCTTTCTAAAAACATCTATAAGCTAAAGAGAAAGGAAACAGCGCGTGCAGTTAAAAAGCCTTAGTTCATGCTTTACATTTCAAATGCTTTAACCATTTTTCCTTCTTGTTCTGTATCTTTACTAAAGGGTTAAACACTATTTTACTGGTGTGTTTACCACTGTACTAAGAAGATTGAGGTCTCTGTATAATAAAAACCAGACCTTGTTTAACACTGTTTAAAGATGGACAATGACAGTATTGTGTTAACACTTTTAACTTGTTGGGCTCATTTGGTCTAGTCAGATTAATACCATGAGTCTATAAGATTTTTTTATTATTAGGTAACTTCATTCATTCCTAGTTCCACTGATGTCCATTGTAAATCTCCTCTTTAAAAGACCTTGTCTGAGCACAGAATAGTTTCAGAGGCTAGATTTACAGAGAATTCTTTCTACTGTGCTTCATCAGGAGAGCAGAAATAACCATAACCAAAGGTAAACTAATGATGGCCTCAAACTTACAGGATGGCCATGATCCAAATCAGGTTCATACTTGTTGATTAGTTGGTGGCACTTGTCAAGGTCTCGCATTTTCTTTGGAAACCATGGGACTGTTGGAGATAGCAAAAAAAAAGGTACAATTAAATTATATAGGTTCACAAATGGCTTGGAAAGAGAAAGAAGTAAAAAACAAGCCGTTGACAACCTCTGCTTTATAGGACTATCTTACACCCCAGTGTTACAAATGGTGAACTTGAAATGAGCTGAAAAATGACAAACTTACGGTCACCCTTCACAGTGACCCAAAGCCTGAGGAACCTGCTTAGCTTTCCTCATGCAGGGAAGCTCCATTTATCGTCAGTTGGAAATTTGCTTTTGTGAAGAATGCTGTTCTTGAGTTTAGTCGGGCTGCTTGATATTCAGTGCCGCCTTAACCAGCACTCACTCACTAAACTGTTATTGGAGCAAATACTTGCAGACATGATTATTTGCAAGTGTAGCTGAGGGTATCAGGCCCTCCCGTTCTGCAAACACGTAGGCTCATGTTGACATTTTTGAAGCTGTGAGTCCTCCTCCTATCAATTTCAGTGGGGCAGAATGGGCTCTCGTGGGTCAGGACCAGAGAGTTCAGCATGTTGCAGTATTGAGTTCTGAGACAATGCCTGCATTGCAACTAAGGGTCTTCACATTGAGACTGCCTCAATGAAGGGCTGATTATCAATTGTGTGATCTGAGCAATGTGAAATCACAGTTTAAAGCAGAAGCAAACCTGTCTCCCCTCTGCTCATTCCAAACAGCGTTGTAATAACCATCTCTAATTATTCCTCCTAGCACCCCTCTTCCCTCTCCAAGTCCCTTCAATTGGTTTTCACTCACCTTCCACAGCAAATTCTAGTTCCTTTTGTTTGTATTCAGGCTTTCTACATCTCTGTCTAAAATTGCTGCTCTTATCTTCTGCTTGCCCCTTATCTACCCTACTTGCCCCTGTCCCCCATCCAAGCTTCTGCCCATGTGCCCCATTTGTTTCCTTCTCTGGTTCACATTTCCACACTCATTTCCACCTTCCTTATTCCTGCTCGCTAAGGAACTGCCTTGCCACACTAAAATCCTTCCTTAACAGTCATTTCCGCAAAGCTTCTCCTCACTACAACTCAAATTTTTTTTAAAGTTAAACGTGTGCTCAAGTGCTTTCCTAAAACCGACCTTGAATGTTGAAAATGGATTATTAAATCAATCAGTTAGAAAAACTAACCCCCCCCAAAATGGACAATGGCAATAAGGCTGAAGAAAAACTATGTTATCGGTGTCATTTATCTCTGTCTTTCCCATGTTTTCTCCATCAGAAACACTTCACTTTATACAGCACCCATTTTCAGAATTGTTTTCTCTGTCCCAGGTGGTATGTGATTCAGCATGTGTTTCTATGTACACCTCACCACATACAGTATGTGCCCATCCATAAGGACCCCATTCAGAAAAGTCTGTGTTTAAATCCCATTGGTGTCAATAATAAGGATGTTAAATATCGATTAATTTACTAGTTGAGTAGTCGATGGAATTACTTCCTCATTCCTCCTGTGAAATGTACAAGAGCTCCAGTGGGGGCTCTTGTGCATTTCAAAGCTGGCATGCCTACATGCAACCCGGGGCTAGTGGGAAGTCCCGCTGACTCCGGGCTCCACGTGGGTGCTTCCCCTTTGAAATCCACAAAAGGCCCCTGGAGCCCACATGGAGCCTGGAGTCAGTGGGACTTCTCACTGGTCCTGGGCTGCACGCAGGTGTTCCAACTTTGAAAGGTACAAGAGTCTCCAGTGGGGGCTCTTGTGCATTTCAGAGCAGAAGCTTGTACATGGAGCCTGGGGTCAGTGGGGGACTCAAAGACCCCCACTCATCCCAGGCTCCATGCAGCACTGCTGCTTTGAAATGCCATTCGGAGCTGGGGTTAGGTGGGGATTCCCCAGCTGATTCCAGGCCCCGCACAGCATTTCAAAATGGCAGTGCCACACAGAGCCCAGGATCAGCTGGGGAGTCCCCAGCTGACTCTGGGTTCTGCGGAAATGCCGCATGGAGCCCGGGGTCAGCTAGGGAGTCCCCAGGCTCCATGCAGCATTGCCACTTCGAAACTCTGTGGTGGTGCTGCCCTTTTGAAATGCTACCACGGTGTTTCAAACCCTGGGCTCCATGCGGTACTGCTGCTTTGAAGTACCCACCTCTTCTCCCCCTCCCTCCTTGCTGCCTCTGACTGATTGAGGCAGCAAGGAGGGGGAGCGACTAATTGACTAGTCAACTAGTCCTTAACATCCTTCGTCAATAGGGCTATACCTACACTACAGCAGAAAGTTGAACTAAGCTACGCCACTCCAAGTTCGTGAATAACCTAGCTGGAGTCGACGTATCTTAAGTCAAGTTACCACAGAGTCCCATTGACTTACCTTACTTTTCTCATCATGGGTAGAGTAAAAGGCTTGAGTGTGGAGTGATCTGTGGTTGATTTGGCAGGTCTTTACTAGATAGACCCAGTCAATCTCAGAGCATTGATCCCCACAAAAGTGTAGATGTAACCTCCATCTTAATTATTTTGTTAAAGCAAACACATGAGTTGAGTGCTTTCTTGAACCAGTGTCTAGGGCCTTGCTCTAGTAATGCACTTACATCTGTTTAATGTGGTATAAATGCCACATTAATCTAGTATAAATGAGTATTATGCACATGCATGAAGCCCATATACTCTTATTTTGCATCATTTCCTCCATTTTTTATCATAAATCATTCACTCTAATCAGCCAATTCATAATAATTACCACAAAAGGCTGAGCTCCTGTCCTGGCAAAGGATATATAGCTCTCAGACAGTTAATTTCAAAATGATTGGCAAGAAAGCGGTTTTTCTTCTAAAAAAAAAACCCCAAGTAAGATGAGAGGTGGAATAGCCTCTCATTTAGCAGTTTTTAAAAAGAGTACATTCAGTATTATGGTAATAATTAATATTGCTGATTGTTCATAGAACACCAGTTTTCCTGAATGTTTTCTGTTTCAGAGAAAATATCATAACAGCTACATGTTGACGCTCAGAGACAAAAGGCATAGTAGTACTTTGGAGAATATGAACTGCCGATAAAATGTACTGCCTATTTCTATGTGCAGTATTTTCAGAATTACCTCAGGTGCCAGACTGGGGGGAGGGGCGGAGGGCTGCCACTAGACCCAGAGTGTAGAAAATTGTGTCTGCTGCTGGTGCATATGTATTCTGTCTGCTCTAGGTGCACAGAGATGGTGGAGTGCTGTGCTGGAGGAAGGCGGGCACAAGAGACATAACAGGCAGGCAGGAGAAAAGGTGGCATGGGGACGTCATTTGAGCTCCCCGCCTCAGGTGCCAAAAATATTGTGGGCTGGCCCTGTATGCATGAGTGTGGGGTCTGTTCCAGAATGTCCCATTGCAGGAGAGGGGGAACCCTAACATCACATACACAGACTGGACATTGTGAACCTAATGAATCACTTACATTCAATTAGCCACAAGCTAGTGCTCCTTTGGGGGAGAAAGGGACTTAGCCTAATAAGGTACAGGTTCCACACATTGCATACCTCGCTCTTCTCTGTGAGTTTTCACATCGTCTGCCACTTTCTTCAAAGAGTTTATAAGGATGCTGACATCAGAATTATGAACATCACATCTGACAAAAAAATCGAGGACCTCAGTAGTGTGCGTGGGGTTTTTGGCTTGTCTGGTTTCAAGGTGATGGATTTCAGCTTCAAAAGTCTGCAAAAGACAAATATCCCTAGGGTGAGAAATGTGAAATCACTGAAAGACAGGACACTGGGGCTGTGTCTACACTACAAAGAAAAGTCGGGAAAAGATATGCAAATTGAGAATGGCAATTTGCGTATCTGTTTCTGCTTTTCTTTCGGAAGAGGCTTTCTGAAATTTGGTATGTCTACACTTTTGGAAAAGTCTCCTCTTTCTGCACATCCCTTCTTCCTCATACAATGCGGTTTATAGGGATGGTGAAAGACCGTGACTAATTTTCTGAATTTTTTTTCGGAAAAGCAGACACGTTCCTTGGATGTGGCATAGCTTTTCCATGATTCCTCTGGTACCCTGGAAAAAGTGCTGCTGTATAGATGTAGCCTAAACCTATAGCTGTAATGTGTCTTTTAAAAGGTGACTGGCTAATGCCTGGCAAGAAATGTTAACACCAATTTTTCTTAAGAACATAAAAACAGACACATTGAGTCAGAGCAAAATTCCATCTAGCCCAGTATTCTGTCTTCCAACAGTGGCCAATGCCAGGTGCCCCAGAGGGAATGAACAGAACAGGTCATCATCAAATGATCCATCCCCAGCCATCCATTCCCAGCTTCTGGCAAACAGAGGCTAGGGTCACCATCCCTGCCCATCCGGGCTAAACTTATGTAGTTCTTATTTTAACCCTTTTTTCTTACGCATCAAATTAATTATCCATTGGGGCATATTTCACTGTGGGAGAGGAACATCTGTTTCACTCTGGATCCTTCCTCCACAGCAAGTGCATAGAATTCCTGGAGGAAAGCCACAGCAGCATAACAACTAGAGTGTTACATTGTCTCTTAACCCTAGACTCCTTCTCCACCTGATGGCACCATGATCTGGGTATGTGAGAGGGCACTATGGGCTGCTTTGGCTGGCCAAACACCCCCCATACAGCAAGACATTCCTCCAAACAGATGGTTCCATCCCTTTAACCCTCCATCCTCATTTCAAAGTGCCCCTGGCATCCCCCTTCAGCCAGGAGAGCCCCAGTCGACACCCCCTGCCCCGGAGATGGTGCTAACATACAGGGACTCAAGATCATCTCATCTGAAGAAGTGGGTTTTGGTCAGGAATGCTCATGATTATACAAAGTTGTTTTTAAAGGTACACACTAAGGCTACGTCTACACAGTGGAGCTATTACGCAATATCGTAGGTATCCTGAAATAGCTATTCCACATCTTAAGAGCAAGCCCATTATATTGAAATATAATGGGCTCACTATTCTGACATCCCTGAAAACCTCATTGCATGAGGGATAAGGGATGTTTTGGAATAGCGCCTTATTTTGAAATTTGGTGCTGTGTAGACAGCGTCAAATTTCAAAATAAGCTATTTTGAAATAGCATTGAAAAAAGCTATGCAATTTGTGTAGTGCAAATTGAGTAGTTTATTTTGACGTATGGGTCCTGTGTAGATGCACCCTAACACAGCTATCTCTCTGAGGGCACATCTACACAGCAGAGCTAAAGTTGAAATGAACTACACAATGTCAATTGTGTAGCTTAAGTCAAAATAGCTTATTTCAGCTTTTGGCACTGTCTACACAGCAGAAAGCCTGAAGTAGAGCACTCTTCCTCTGGCTTCCCTTACGCCTCATAAAATGAGGGTTACAGGAGTCGGCGTTCGAAGTCCTCCAGCTCCATATTATTTCAACATTATATCAAAATGACTGCTTACTATGTAGACGCAGACTATGTTATTTCAGAATAACGCTGCTGTGTAGACATAGTCTGAGAGTTTCTAACATAGACCCTATGGGTGCGTCTGCACAGCACCCTAAACTTGCAATAATACATGCAATTTGCACCATGCAAATTGCGTATCTTATTTCAAAACTATTCCAGAATAGCTTATTTTGAAATTTGGCACCTCTACACAGCACCAAATTTCAAAACACGGCGCTATTTGGAACTAACCCTTATCCCTCATGCAACAGCACACCTGTTGTTTTGAAAAATATTCCAAAATAACGGGTGGCTTGTGTAGACAGGGGGTACCTATTTTGGGATACCTCTGGTATCCCGAAATAGCCGTGCAGTGTAGAGGTACCCATAGGGGATGTAGGGGAAGAGAAGAGCTAGGAAGGCAGAGTCTGGGCAGTGGGAAGAGGCGGCAGGCCCACAAGCGGGGGCAGATACAGAGGCTCGAAGGGGAAGAGGTGGCGTGAGAGAAGGGAGCGGGGACAGAGGCTGGGTGGAGAGCGGAGGAGCAGAAGCTAAAGGGATGAGGAGAGAGGCAGGACAAGGGAGGATTCTGAAAGATGCGGGGCTGGGGTTAGTACCTCGAAGACTCTGACTGCCTTGGCGAGGCCGGCCTTGCGGGCTTCCCGGAGGGTGAAAGTCAAGGTCAGGGTGGCTCTTCCGTCCTCTTCCTCCCAGACCAGGCTCTCTCCCTTGCTCAAGGGCTCTGTGGCCGGAGTTTCTTTCTCCGCATCTCCTTTGAGGCTTGCCCGCCTGCCTGGGGCGCCCGCAACGTCTGTCTTCATGGGAAACCAAGCCAGACGAGACACCCTCTCTTCGCTCCGCACCGCCTTCGGCTCCGGAGTCCAGAGAGCCAGCCCTCGCTCTCTCCTCGCCTGGTGCGGGATCGCCCAAAGACAGCTACCGGCGGTTCGCTGCACCCTCGCTGCTAAGGCCTGGGAGCGTCCGCACAGGGCGATGGGTCTGGGGCTATCTGGGACTGACCCCGTGGGAGAGGCGAGCCGGTCCCTTCTGGGCCAGGAGTGAGGGCGCTTTATGGTGCCCACCCCAGGGAGGATCAAGGGGAGTTCTGTGCGCAGAGCATACGCAGGAGACCAAAATAGCCCCCTTCTCATGGTAATTTCAAAGCACGGCCCTCCTGCTCTGGTTGAAAACGGCTTTATCTCCCCCACCCCACCCCCTGCCGCCGCGTTTTAGGAAATAGGGATCTTTTGTGAAGAGGCCAATTTAAATCTGGATTCAGTTTGCAGGAATCTGAGCTTTTATGCGCTGCGCGTGGAAAGAGAGAGAGAGTATGTGTGTGTAAAAGATTGTGTGTGTGTGTGTGTGTGTGTGTGTGTGTAAAAGATTGTGTGTGTATGTGGGTGTGGGTGTGGGTGTGAAAGATTGTGTGTGTGTGTGTTTGCTTTTGCTGTCTAACTGGGAAATCCTCTTTCCAGTGCTGGTTTCCCACGGTTGGAATGGCCCGCGCACCCCCTCGCCTGGGGCGGGATCGCCCAAAGACAGCTACCGGCGGTTCGCTGCACCCTCGCTGCTAAGGCCTGGGAGCGTCCGCACAGGGCGATGGGTCTGGGGCTATCTGGGACTGACCCCGTGGGAGAGGCGAGCCGGTCCCTTCTGGGCCAGGAGTGAGGGCGCTTTATGGTGCCCACCCCAGGGAGGATCAAGGGGAGTTCTGTGCGCAGAGCATACGCAGGAGACCAAAATAGCCCCCTTCTCATGGTAATTTCAAAGCACGGCCCTCCTGCTCTGGTTGAAAACGGCTTTATCTCCCCCACCCCACCCCCTGCCGCCGCGTTTTAGGAAATAGGGATCTTTTGTGAAGAGGCCAATTTAAATCTGGATTCAGTTTGCAGGAATCTGAGCTTTTATGCGCTGCGCGTGGAAAGAGAGAGAGAGTATGTGTGTGTAAAAGATTGTGTGTGTGTGTGTGTGTGTGTGTGTGTGTAAAAGATTGTGTGTGTATGTGGGTGTGGGTGTGGGTGTGAAAGATTGTGTGTGTGTGTGTTTGCTTTTGCTGTCTAACTGGGAAATCCTCTTTCCAGTGCTGGTTTCCCACGGTTGGAATGGCCCGCGCACCGCTTAATTCGTTCACTTGTACAACTGGCCGTAGATATCCGCTTGTAAAGGGTTTAGAGGTGGGGAACGGGTGATCATACAGAAACCGTTAGCTTTTATTTGCCGGGGCTCCAGTTCCCCGGCCAGCAGCAGGGAGGAGAAGGGAGGGCATTAGAATTACCTGGAAAGGGAGCCACTGTTCACTCTCGGAGGGTTTCCAGCCCTGTGTAAACCCCTCCGCAATACCAGCTGTGATTTGTACGCTTTACTTAAAAAATGGTCACTTGATGGATTGTATTGGCTATGCCGATATACCTACGCCGAGCAATGCGATTGATTTCCAACCGATTCGTTTAAGAATGGTATGCGCCAGTGATGTATATTTTAAAACAATTAAATAAAGCAGAAGAGATGTCAATTACCCACAGGCTGTGATTTGTGCAAGGTGGCCGAAAACTCTTTAAACGTTGCTTCGCATTCCCGTTTTATTGTCTAAAAGGTCATTTTCACATACGCGCTCTTTGCAGATTTCCTACGGGGGGGCGGGGACACCCCGTTGTTCGACGGTGCTGATTTCTAGTGTAACGTTGTGTGTTGTAACCGCATTTTGAATTTCACTCCGATTCCTGCTACCTAGCAGGCAAAGTCAGCTCTGGGAGATAATTCAAGCCCCATTTCTAGGGAGCACATCGTTCCGGATTAATGATGGAAATTGACTAGATGACCATTGGCTATAAAACGCATACGATTCCAGAGAAGCAAGACATTAGTTGATCCCTTATATTTACGGAGAAGGATGATCGGCAATCCGTCCGCGTGCTTTATATCCTGACATGCCTAGAAACAGACCGCTCGGTGTCTGTCCTGTGTTTCTGTATCCGGATTTAAATTCGTGGGCATTTCCGCTAATACGGTTCCTGATTTTTAAACCAGCGTCAAGTCCGTGGCGTATTATGGTTTTTTTCATTCGTTGTTTTTTTTTTATTCTTCCTCCCTGCGCTCCACGATTCGGGACACCGACATACCTGGCTGTGTCTGTGGCCCTTCATTCCCCAGCCTTTAAAGTGGCATTTCGATGGCTCCCGGCTATCATTTTGCCCAGCTCCCTCATCAGACTCAACCCGGAGGACCCGTTCTACTCTGTTAGCAGTCGCGGCTGCGGTCTGACAGGGATACTGTTCTACCGGCCACCCTTCGGGCCAATGTGTCGCTCAATAACAAGAGTAAATCCGTCAGCATTGTTGCAGAGAAACTACGCCATAGAAATGCACCAAGGAACGCGCTACAGATTTAATACCAAAATCACAGCGTTATAAACCGGCTAGTTTCACAAGGCTGCACACCAGCGAGTTATAGTTTCAAGCAATTCCATAAAGCAGAAATAGATGCCGATCGTTGCAGAGAGTGACTTTTGTCAGGTGTCCGGAAACGCAGCCCCCTTTAAATTTTGCTCCAGATTCACATGTTATTATCCAGAGCCTTTCCCTCCAGCCCGACATTCACACCCACGCTCTCTGTATATTTCCCACGGGGAAGGGGACGAAACCCTATAGTTTTAAAGTGCTGGTTTCTACTGTAACATTATGTGCTGTAACCGTGTTCTGATTTTCACTCAGATTCACACTACCTAGCAGGTGAATTCAGCTCGGGGAAGTAATTCAAGACCCATCTCTAGGGAGCAAGTAGCTCCGGATTAATGGTGGAAATCTATATCTATATCTATATTTAAGCTCTCTCTCTCTCTCTCTCTCTCTCTCTCTCTCTCTCATATATCTATCTGTATGTTGTAACTGCATTTAGAATTTCATTCCAAAATTCAGAGAAAGAGATAGATAGATAGATAGATAGATAGATAGATAGATAGATAGATAGATAGATAGATATGGGATTTAGAGAGAGAGAGAGAGAGAGAGAGAGAGAGAGATCCCGTAAAATTACGGGGGGGGGGGGGGGGGAACACTTTTAAAAATAATCACCCCCTGATTCCAGGAGGGACGCTCCAATGACGCATAATCCATTAGTGACCTCTCTCTACTCTCTTTCTTCCCCTTGGGGGCAATTGAGGTGCCGGAGTGGCTGCTGTCCCGGGTGCTGAAACTCTGTTGTCTTGAACAGAAGCAGCAAACCCCCAGCTGCCCTCCTGCGCCTGTATCTCTTGTGAAATCCACCCTCTGGGTACCTGGTTTCGAGTGCAGGGCACTTTGTTGGCTGGCTCGAGCATTTTGGTTCTGATCTGGGGGCTGCTCGCTTGGGGATCAGGATCCGGAGTGAAACGCGAGAGCAATGACTAGTCACCGACAGAAATGTAGCGCCGAGAGAGTGAGGGCTTCCCCGGTTTGTACCTCACACGTTCCTTCTGAGCTTCGTTTGTTTCTGAGCAAACCACGGGGAGAAAGCCAGTCGGGAGTACTGGGGGTACTAGGCAAGGAGCGTCCAAGCTGTCAGCGGGGTGGCTTTCAATGTGATCCAGCAGTGTTATTTATATCCGCAGTGCAATTAGCCATTTGATAAACGGCATTTAATAAATAACAAGCGTCTCAGAATCCACATTTTTTGGAACTTAAATTCTTTGGTGACCTTTTGTAACCAATACACGAGTGAGTGATAAACGCGTGGAATAAACTAGAATTCGATTGATATTATCTCGTTCTATAATCTGTACCTTTATCTTTATTCTCCTGCTATAGATTCTAATACCTACAATCAGCCAAGACCCTCCAACCGTGATCTAGCACACACAATTGGTGTAATACTGCAGAGCTTCAGCTCCCTATGCGAAAGCAGACAATTTTATGGGCGTAAACGTAATAAAACCTTTCCAGCAAGAAAAGCCAGTCCAGACAGCCTGGGGGTTGATTGTCTCTGAAGAGCACAATCTCCTCGTATGTCACTTTTTTGAAACCTGGACAATAAGAGGTATATATTTTAGCATTTACCACACACTCGCTTGTGCTTCCATTCAAGCACTTACAAAATCACTGGAACAAATCATCCAGCAACATCCAGGTGCTTCCCCGCCTCTCCCCCTCCCGCCACTGCAAAAGAAAAGAAAAGAAAAGAAAAGAAAAGAAAAGAAAAGAAAAGAAAAGAAAAGAAATACAAAGTTGCCAGAGAAGGAAGCCTCCAGCTTCAATCTGATGCAATGCAGGGCTGAAACTAACAAGGACAATCTTCAGAGAGGTAGACCCGTCAGTCTGTTTCAGCAAAAATAATAAGGAGTCCAGTGGCTCTGTAAAGACTAACACATTTACGAGGCATTAGGGCACACGCTTTGGTGAGCTACAACTCACTTCCTAAGATGCTCAGGAGAAAAGAAAGAAAAAAGGAAATACAGATATGGGAGTGTGAAGGCATTGCTAACTAGAGTGGATGAGGCTCATCTCTAATAGTTCCCTCCTTGTGTTCAATGCCAGTTTTGTGGTTATAAGGTAGCCACATCACCAGTCAACCTAACAGTAGGGTGACCAGATGTCCTATATTTAAGCTCTTCTGAAGGTGTTCCTACTTCTTTTTTTTAATGAGCCAACTGTCCTGTATTTTCTGTCTGTCTCCTACAATCAGAACTGGTTGGTCCTGCTGCTGGCTGTATCCTTTCTTGCCACCCACCTGCCCACCCACCAATGGGAAGTATGTGTGTGTGGGGGGGGGAGTGTCCAGTGGCTGATGATGGAGATGGGAGTGCAAAGCTGGTGGTTAGGCACAACTGCAGCATACAGGACCAGCCTCT